GAAAACCCCATGTATAATTTTAAAGATAATTTTAGGAGGAAGAAATGACTAAATGCTGGGGAAGAATGGCAACTGTGGCTTTTAATACTTCCTACGGGATAGGAAAACTGAGCCAGCAGTAACACTTTTCAAGATAAAGCAGGCAGATCTTATTTGTAATGTATTGAAAATACACAGGGTACTAGTAAAGAACTGTATGCTAACAATTATTTAACTATTTGAATCATTGCACTCAGGTAATATAAACCAGATGTTTTATTGTGACATTATATTAGTAGCAAATGCCACAGGAAACTCTTACCGTATAAGTAATAAGGAAAACTCCCCAAGCTAACCCCTTTTAGTCAAAACAAGTAGTAATATCTTTGAATTAAAGATTTGTTTTTTTATGGACTCTGAGTGCTGATTGAAACTTTTCCCAAGGTTTGTGCATAAATCCAGTCACCAGAGCTGAGAACGTGCAATCTTTCCACCAACAGAGCACTAACAGCAGCTCTCCACCCAGCTGCCTAAGAAGTTTTATTTCAATCAAATTCACTTGAAATTGGTCTGTTACAAAAGTTAGAATAGGGATCAGAAACACAAGGATAAATGTAGAGGTGCAGACCATATTCACTAAAAATCTCTCGATTGTGCTGTAGGAAGTGCTAGATTTTAATAAGTGAAGCATAGGAAACACGTGTTGGTCTTATTTCTGACCCTAAATGATGTTTACTTTTGAAAACAGGTATATACCCTTGAGGAAAGTTTTACCCTCTCCCCTGTCACCTGAGATTCATACACTTCTTGGGAAAGCAGACCTCTGCCTAGGTGTAAATAAAATGGTGTCTACCAGAGCTGTTGATAAAGGAAACAGGACTTCAATTAGAAATTACATCTTTCAAGTTCATAATAAAAATAGGATAAATATGAAGTCACATCTGTAATTATTTTTTTTATGTCTGTACATTATTAGAATACAAGAGCAGCTTACTTAAAAAAAAAAAAAAAGAAAATCTCACCAATGCAAGGTGTCTTGAGTGCTACCTACTCTTTTGGGTGACAAAAGCTTCAGGTCTCAATCCAGTCCCTGCAGGTGCATTTATGATGTTCTCCATTTCAGAGAGGTCATAGCTCAGACCTCAGTTATTCACTGCAGCCGCTGAATGAATGTGTCTTTGGCTTATTATTTTCAGGAGACTGTTTCCTCTGTGAGCCACAACCAACCATACCTTGTGACATGAAATCTCTTAAAACTAACCCTATAAAGACTATAAAATGCAGAGCAGTAACTACTTGTGATACATTGCCTCATGGAACTTTGGGGAAAGGGTAAAAGCATAACTATTTCAGATGCTCTCAGTGGCCAGTCTTTCAGGAACAGGTTGGAAACCAGCTCTATAAATCCCCATTTTCAGGGTTTTTTTTTTAGTGGTGTCCCTAATGACTTTCTTTTTCTGGCTGTATGCTGCTACAGTCATGTTGCACTTCTGTAATCCCAAGTATCTGCTGCACTTAGTGTCATGTTGAATTAGATTGGGAATCCAGGTGACACATGACATGGCCATAAAAACAAATGTGCTGGTTCAGAGCATTTTAAGAACTGAGTTATTAGCAATAAAAATACTACTGTCTTATTTTTGTTGCTAATACCTCTGTCCCTGTCTTATGATGAAAGTCAGCTAGCTGGAAGACAACCTGGATGCATCCACGATCTAAACATTGGCACCTTATTGATTATGTTTTAGTGCGCCAGAGAAATATTCGTGATGTCTGCCAGACCAGAGTGATGCCTAGTGCAGAATGCCAAACAGATCACCGCCTTGTGCGTTGCAAACTTAATTTCCACTTCAAGCCCAAACCTAAGAGGGGCGGCATTCCAAGGAGGAGGCTCAATGTTGATAATCTTCAAATAGCTGCAGTGAGGGACAGCTTTCAGGCTAACCTTCAAACTAGGCTTGAAGACCAACTTACAGATTCTTCTCCTGAAGCGCTTTGGCAACATATCAAAAACAGCATCCTTCAGTCCTCCGTAGAATCCATTGGGTTCTCCTCAAAGAAAAACAAAGACTGGTTTGACGACAGCAACCAGGAGGTCCAGGAATTGCTGACAAAAAAGAGATCTGCTCATCAAGCACACCTCGCTCAGCCACTCTGCCATGTAAGAAAAGCAGCCTTTCGTCTTGCATGTAGCAAACTCCAACAGAAACTTAGAGACATCCAGAACAAGTGGTGGGTCAACCTAGCAGAAAAGACTCAACTATGTGCAGATTTGGGTGACCACAGAGGATTCTATGAGGCTCTGAAGGCAGTGTATGGACCCACATTCCAGGTTCAAAGCCCCTTACTTGGTGCAGATGGCCAAACGCTTCTTACAGATAAAATCTCCATCCTGAATCGTTGGTCTGAACATTTTCAAACCCTCTTTAGTACTAATCGTGTAGTCCAAGGTGAAGGAATCCAGCACATTCTGCAACATCCGGTGAAAAACGAATTGGATTTGGCCCCTACCATGGGAGAGACTCTTAAGGCCATACAGCAGGTGAAAACTGGCAAGGCAGCTGGGGTTGACGGAGTCCCACCTGAAATATGGAAGCATGTAGGCCAAGCACTCCACGCTAAATTTCATGAGCTAGTTGTGTGCTGTTGGGAACAAGGTAAAATACCGTCAGACTTTCGTGATGCAATCATCGTCACTCTGTATAAGAAAAAAGGTGTCAAGTCAGACTGCTCAAACTACCGTGGTATAACTCTGCTCTCCATTGCTGGTAAAATTCCTCCAAGAATACTATTGAACAGACTAGTACCTGCCATCGCAGAAGAACTTCTACCTGAAAGTCAGTGTGGTTTCAGGGCTAATAGAAGTACCACAGACATGGTATTTGTTCTCAGACAATTGCAAGAAAAGTGTAGAGAACAGAATAAGGGGTTATACGTAACTTTCGTTGACCTCACCAAAGCTTTTGACACTGTGAGCAGGAAAGGCTTGTGGCTGATCTTAGAACGATTAGGTTGTCCCCCCAAGTTCCTGAAAATGATTATTCTGTTACATGAGGATCAGCAAGGCCAAGTCAGGTATGGTGATGCACTCTCTGAGCCTTTCCCAATAACCAATGGTGTGAAACGAGGTTGCGTTCTCGCACCGACCTTATTCACAATCTTCTTTAGCATGATGCTCCAAAGGGCTACAGCAGACCTCGACGAACAAGACGGCATTTATATTCGATATCGTACCGATGGTAGCCTATTCAATCTAAGGCGACTGAAGGCCCACACTAAGACCCTAAACCATCTTGTCCGTGAACTGCTCTTTGCTGATGATGCTGCCCTTGTTGCCCACACAGAAGCAGCTCTGCAGCGTTTAACATCTTGCTTTGCGGAGGCGGCTGAGGTTTTTGGGCTGGAAGTCAGTTTGAAGAAGACAGTAGTCCTCTACCAACCTGCACCGCAAGAAGATTATCACCATCCCCATATTACCATCGGCGAGTCAGAGCTTAAGACAGTTCAGCAGTTCAGCTATCTGGGAAGCATCATTTCCTCGGACGCCACGATCGACAGAGAGATAGACAACAGAATAGCAAAGGCATATAGAGCCTTTGGAAAACTTCATAAAAGAGTCTGGTGTAATAAACACCTGAAGAAAAGTACAAAGATCAGTGTCTACAGAGCCATTGTATTGTCTACTCTTTTATATGGGTCTGAATCATGGGTCATCTACCGTCATCACCTGCGACTCCTGGAACGCTTTCATCAGCGCTGCCTCCGTACAATTCTAAACATCCATTGGACTGACTATGTGTCTAATGTCACTGTCCTCGAACAGGCAGGGGTCACCAGCATCGAGGCCACATTGCTGAAACTGCAGCTGCGCTGGGCAGGGCACGTCTCTAGGATGAAGGATCACCGCCTCCCCAAGATCGTGTTTTACGGTGAACTTGCCACTGGTAGCCGCAAGAGAGGTGCCCCAAAGAAAGAGATACAAGGACTCCCTGAAACAATACCTTAGCCTTGGCCATATTGACTACCATCAGTGGTCCACCTTGGCCTCCAATCGGGAGACTTGGAGGCACACCATACATAATGCCGCTGACTCCTTTGAGAGTTCACGAAGAACTAGTCTCGAGGAGAAAAGACAACGCAGGAAGAATCGTGTCCCACCTGTTCCACCCAAGGAGACCTTCTGCTGTGTTTTTTGTAGCCGGATTTGCCTATCCCACATTGGCCTTCTTAGTCATCAGCGCGCTTGTAGTAAGCGTGGGTAAATGCCCTTCCCAAATCTTCGTTCGCGAAGTCAAGCCATGATGATGATATTAGTAGCAAATGCCACAGGAAACTCTTACCGTATAAGTAATAAGGAAAACTCCCCAAGCTAACCCCTTTTAGTCAAAACAAGTAGTAATATCTTTGAATTAAAGATTTGTTTTTTTTATGGACTCTGAGTGCTGATTGAAACTTTTCCCACGGTTTGTGCATAAATCCAGTCACCAGAGCTGAGAATGTGCAATCTTTCCACTGACAGAGCACTAACAGCAGCTCTCCACCCAGCTGCCTAAGAAGTTTTATTTCAATCAAATTCACTTGAAATTGGTCTGTTACAAAAGTTAGAATAGGGATCAGAAACACAAGGATAAATGTAGAGGTGCAAACCATATTAACTAAAAATCTCTTGATTGTGCTGTAGGAAGTGCTAGATTTTAATACGTGAAGCATAGGAAACACGTGTTGGTCTTATTTCTGACCCTAAATGATGTTTACTTTTGAAAACATGTATATACCCTTGAGGAAAGTTTTACCCTCTCCCCTGTCACCTGAGATTCATACACTTCTTGGGAAAGCAGACCTCTGCCTAGGTGTAAATAAAATGGTGTCTACCAGAGCTGTTGATAAAGGAAACAGGACTTCAATTAGAAATTACATCTTTCAAGTTCATAATAAAAATAGGATAAATATGAAGTCACATCTGTAATTATTTTTTTTATGTCTGTACATTATTAGAATACAAGAGCAGCTTACTTAAAAAAAAAAAAAAAGAAAATCTCACCAATGCAAGGTGTCTTGAGTGCTACCTACTCTTTTGGGTGACAAAAGCTTCAGGTCTCAATCCAGTCCCTGCAGGTGCATTTATGATGTTCTCCATTTCAGAGAGGTCATAGCTCAGACCTCAGTTATTCACTGCAGCCGCTGAATGAATGTGTCTTTGGCTTATTATTTTCAGGAGACTGTTTCCTCTGTGAGCCACAACCAACCATACCTTGTGACATGAAATCTCTTAAAACTAACCCTATAAAGACTATAAAATGCAGAGCAGTAACTACTTGTGATACATTGCCTCATGGAACTTTGGGGAAAGGGTAAAAGCATAACTATTTCAGATGCTCTCAGTGGCCAGTCTTTCAGGAACAGGTTGGAAACCAGCTCTATAAATCCCCATTTTCAGGGTTTTTTTTTTAGTGGTGTCCCTAATGACTTTCTTTTTCTGGCTGTATGCTGCTACAGTCATGTTGCACTTCTGTAATCCCAAGTATCTGCTGCACTTAGTGTCATGTTGAATTAGATTGGGAATCCAGGTGACACATGACATGGCCATAAAAACAAATGTGCTGGTTCAGAGCATTTTAAGAACTGAGTTATTAGCAATAAAAATACTACTGTCTTATTTTTGTTGCTAATACCTCTGTCCCTGTCTTATAATGAAACTCTCAATGCTGCTGGGATTTATCCTACATTTACTGTCATGTCTTTTTGTTTTTCCAGTATTCATATGTTAATTTATATTAGTAAATTCATACAAAAAAAGTGACTATTAGCAAAGCAATCATATCTTTCATGAAAGTTATTAGAGATCAATATTGCTAGATTATTCTATTATGTGCCATAGCAAATATGTAATTACTATTGTCATCTTACTATGAAGAGATGAATCATCCAAAAAGTCCTCCTGGGATTCTTTAATTTCTCCAGGTCTTAATTCACTAAATTCATTCCTAAGTGAGATTTTCCACCTTTTTTACTGACAATTGTGGAAGAATTAAAAAATGAAAAAGAAATTAATATCAAATACCATGAGACAAATACATGGCTAAGATTCAGGACTCCAGTTGTGTAAATATTACTACATTCCCAAAACAAAGTTATCATAAGAGATCAGACAATGGTTACATTACCAGTGGCCTTAATACATGCTTCAAAAAACAATAAGCATCCCATAATGCACCTAGACAAATGTGAAATGTTTTTACATACTAAGAAAATGTTCCCAACCCCTGTGTGCAAATTGCTGATGGAAATTAAAGCATGTTTAATGATACTTCAACCTGCATACCTGTCCTGGGTTTAGCAGCAGCAGTCATTTTTTCTCCTTCTTGGTAGCTGGTGCAGTGCTGTGTTTTGACTTTCAGCCTGGGAACAAAGCTGATAACAATGATGTTTTGGTTTGGCCAAGGACTTTGTGAGCCTCATGCTCTGCCAGGGAGGAGGGGAAGCTGGGAGGAAGCAGAGATAGGACACCTGACCCAGACTGACCAAAGAGCTATTCCATCCCACAGCACGTCATGCCCAGGATGTAACTGGGAGTTACCCGGAAGGACACGGGGTCTTCTGGGTCGGACTCGTTGTTCGGCGGATGGTAGTGTACTCTTTTCCCTTGCTATTTTCTCTTATCATTGTTGTCGTTGGTGGCAGCGGTGGGATATGCGTTGTACATTGGTTTCTGGACTGTTCTTATCTCAACCCCTATTCTCCTCCCCATCCCTCCAGGAGCAGGGAAGGGGGGGAGCTCCCAGGGCGGGGGGGATGTGGGCCTCGACTGTTTCCAGCCCGGCACCACTCACTGGGAGTGAGTGCACAAGCTGTCTGGCTGGGTTTAAACCACGACAGTTCATTTTGGCGCCCAACGTGGGGCACAAGGGGTTGAGAAAACAACAGATCTCACTGGATTAATAGTCCCTCGTCACAACACTGATTTATTGGCTCTCAAAGTTGTTCCTCTTGATCTCACAGTTTCAGTATATCGTACCTTACTTCCAGCCGGTATTTGCTGTATTAGTGTTTTTCAAGTGTGGGCCTTGGGCTAAGGTTTTTGTCTCATTGTATTTTATGGTAATGACTTGTAATACAATAGAATCATTGATCATGAAACTGACCTGGCTTATGTTCCCAGTATGGTCACCACCTTTATACTCTGGGAGGTATATAATAAACGTGCTTAGGAATTACACATCTTTTTTCTTCTTCTTGGGTGGTCAACCTGTGAAGGAGACATTCTTCTACCCTCCCAGTTCCCCCCAGGCCATTTACAGCATCATTTGAGAGTTTTGAAGTTTTTGAATGGCCTTTTAATGCTGTTGAGACTTGTTTGCTGATTGTGATGGGGAACACCATGTTGGCACACATACAGAGTATTATTTTGCCCACGACCATTTTGTCTGTTTTCAAAAGTTAAGCAGAGTCAGGTTTGGGTCTTGTCTGGGGTTAAACGACGATACAGGAGGACCATACAGATTTTCTCCGAGGCTGGACAGTCATGAGTGGCAGGATGTGTGGGATAGTATGGGCAAGTATCTAGGTCAGTGGGACCCTCCAGTGCTTTGGAAGCGGTGGAGATGGAAAGCAGCTGTATGGAGTCCCCAGCAACAAGCTGCAGAAACTGCTGAAGGGGATGGTGAATTATTTTGAGCCTGGTGGGCCCATGACCCTTAAGGCCATCAGAGCAGAGATGCAACATAGAGATGGACTCATGATCGAGGGGTGGACTTATCAATGGACACTATTGCCCAGGTTATTCATGTGTGTGAACACAGCCTCTCCTGCTCTGAAAGACTGTTACAAGAGATGGAGCCTGACATCGTGGACCAGATGGACTCAGCAGCTTTATAGGGACTAGTCCATGCACTAAGATAGAAGTGCACTGAGATCAGAGTGATGGCATATTGAAAATGTGGGATCTGAGCATGATGTGACCTGGGTTCAGCAGTAGCAGTCATTTTTCTCCTTCATGGTAGCTGGTGCAGTGCTGTGTTTTGACTTTCGACCTGGGAACAGAGCTGATAAAAATGATGTTTTGGTTTGGCCAAGGACTTTGTGAGCCTCATGCTCTGCCGGGGAGTAGGGAAGCCAGGAGGAAGCAGAGACAGGACACCTGACCCAAACTGACCAAAGAGGTATTCCATACCACAGCACGTCATGCCCAGGATGTAACTGGGAGTTACCCGGAAGGGCTAGGAGACTGCAAAGTTGGAGGAGGCATCAGTTGGTGCTTGGTTGGGCTGGGAGGGGTGAGTTATTGGTTGGCTGGTGCTGAGGTGTTGTATTGTCTTCCCTTGTTATTTCCTTTATCATTATTATTGGTGGTAGCAGTAGTGATGTGTGTTATACCTCCGTTACTGGCTGTTCTTATCTCAACCCGTGGGAGTTGCATTCTTTTCGATTCTCCTCTCTGTCCCTCTGGGAGTACAGGGAGGGAAAGAAGGGGGGGAGTGAGTGAACGGGCTGGGTTTTAACCACGAGAATATCCATAAACATTCTCTTTTGTTTTTTTTCAGTTAGTCACAGAAATGCAGCTCATCAGGAATTACGTGTTCAAGTAGAAATACCCATTTAACAGCTCAGGTATTCAGAAGTGGCCCTATTAGAAGTTAAACTGTTATTTTATCATTTTGTTAAAATCAAAATTTATAGGACAGTTCAAAGCTCAGCACTTAGACTGCCTGAAAACTCTGGAAAAGGCTCTCCAGAATTACGCATTCAACTCACATTTTCAGAGTCAGGAAAAGAAAGCCTGTGTTACAAAGCATGCAACTGAAACAAATGCTTTATATGAACAATAAATTATGTAGCTATGAAATGATGGAGAACAAGTGGCACTGCCTTTCAGTCATTTTCTCAGACTTCTCTTAAATCTGTGCTTGAACAATGTGTCATCTTTTAATAGTGACTTTCATTTTGTTGCCGTCACAGCTGGGTCTACAGGACAGTGAAGTCATAATCATGTCTCTTCCTTCACAGAAGTTGTTAGCAAAGATAACACTTCAAGCCAAAAGCAGGATTCATTTGCTGTTGTTGGCAACGTTGAAAAAACAATTTTGTAATTTTAGTAATATTAATCTGCCATTTCATTGAGAAAAGTGAGGATTTTACATTGTTACATGTATAGGAAGATTCCTGACACACTGATAAAACTGACAAATGAGATTAGTACATTTATAAACACAAGTGTATATAAAAAATTACACTCCACAGAGTCTTATTTTTTCTACTGGCATGTAGAGAAGGAAAATGAAAAAGAAGCCTTGAGTTAACTGTCAATAAGCCACAGAAGACTACTTGCATATACTGGCTGAACAACAGACACTTAAAGTTACTATTACAAATCTTAGATCTGACAACAGCGGTTTACATAGCTGAACATGAGTTTCACTTTACATCTCTCCAGTATTTTTATGTCTAAATATATATTTTAGATTTGAGAGGATGATGAGGGGCCTGGAGCACCTCCCATTGGAAGACAAGCTAAGAAAGTTGGGGCTGTTCGACCTGGAGAAGAAAAGGCTGCGTGGAGACCTCATAGCAGCCTTCCAGTACCTGAACAGGCCCTACAAGGATGTCGGAGAGGGACTCTTCACCAGGGACTCTGGCAATAAGACAAGAGGTAATGGGTTAAAACTTAAACAGGGGAAGTTTAGATTGGATATAAGGAGGAAGTTCTTTACTGTAAAGGTGGTGAGGCACTGGAACAGGCTGCCCAAAGAAGTGGCAAATACTCCATCCCTGGCAGTGTTCAAGGTGAGGTTGGACAGAGGCTTGGGAGACATGGTTTAGTGGGAGATGTCCCTGCCCATGACAGGGGGATTGGAACTAGATGATTTTAAGGTCCTTTCCAACCCTAACTATTCTATGATTCTATGAATTGTAACTCCCAGTGAGTTGCATTCACTTTCATAATTGATTTTCAAATTAAAGCTCAGATTCCAGACAGCCTAATGCAGGCCCACACCAATCAGTTCTATATTTTTTCAAGTCTTGTTTGTATACTGGTGATATCTCATATACAGTAAATAAGTAGCAGTAACAGTAAGTAAGTTTGAATAAAGGCTACATTTGAATGTCAATTATAGCAAACCAAATTATATCATTTTGATGTTTATTGTTGCTAATATATCATTATAGGGTGCAATTGGAATTACTAAATCATATTTCTGATAGCACACATACAAAATAGCTTTAACTCTCAAACATATCCACAATACTCTGGAAATTACCCTTATTATGTGACTAAAAGGAAACCCATCCTACTCAGTTGTGCAAGTTCATCCTGTATTACAGTGACATACACAATCTTTATTCCTTTGCAGTGAAGCAGTTGCCTCTCTAAAAGCAAAAAACCCCACATTCCTCTAATCTGCATTCTAGAATTTAATATATGAAAAGTAAATTACACCACTGAAACATTTTATAATAACAGAATGAACATTTCTGTAATGTACACACAGAGTATACACTGCGATGTTGCTAAAATAACACCACTGGTAATATAAGGATTCAATGCAAAAGAGGTTATAAACCACTTGTCATTCTGTTTCAGGGACAATCTTCCTATGTGGGAGAGCTTTAGAAGTAGTACGTTTGCAACCCACTACAGGGATAACAGGACAGTGAATGCTGCACTGTACTGTACATCTGAAAGTTCTTTTTATCTCTAGCAATGTAGGGAGAATCAGCATATAAGGTTACTTCCATTCTTATCTGTGGGAAACAAGAGGTGAGAATAAGGTCAGAACAAAACTGATATGCAAATGGTGAAAGAAAAGACATATTTCTACATGGTCCTCAGGCTGCATACCCTCCAAAATGGTATGCAAGAATATAGTATATTGTAGGGGAAAAAAATCATTGTTAAAGGAGAAAAGAAACATGGTTAATATGCTCTCAGCCTTCTCATGTCTCTGTTGGAAGTGCCATTTCTTAAATGCCACAAACCAACAACAACAAAAAGAACAACACAAAAAAAAAAACAACCAACAAACCAAACCAAAAAAAAACCCAAACCAAACAAACCCTCCACAAAACTACCAGGAAAACCCTGCATTTCTCAGCATGGAAATCCCAAGTATAACTGAAAAAGGAAACAGCCACCTGACCCCAAAACCACTTGCCAAAAATTAATGATGACTGTTGCTTTGCTTTTCAACTTCTGAACTTTAATGCCTAACAGCTAACTAATTTCAATGTCTAACAGCTAACTAATCTTCAGATCAATATTCTGCATAATCTTACAGATTTAACTATACACAAATCTAGAAGTCCAACTCTTAAAAAAAGCAGAACTATGTTGCACAACGAATTGCAATGTGTTGTGATCTATTACAAATTACATTAATATATACTTTTCAGTGTAGGATATACAGTACAGTAAAAGTAAGTGTAAAGAGCAGATGCTTGCCCAAATTCTGTACTGGTGTAATCAAGATGAACTTTTCATAGTAAGAATTCTATACATTTTTCTTTAGTATTTTGTGGGTATGACTGTATTTATCTGTAAGTTTATGTATACATGGGTGTAGGTATTTAATTCAAACAGAGTGCGCATATGTGTATACAGAATAAGATTTTACCTTTATACATTCCAATTAACCCTAAAATGAAACACTAAGTCAGTAGCCTACAAATCAAATACCTCTGTCCTATTTTTAAAGAAATTACAATAAATGTTTTAACATGGTTATAAAAATTCTTGCACTGTTGTGGTATTGTACAATTATAAATGCCAAGGCATTTTAATACCAACTCAAAAAACTTAAAATTACAGATGTATGTATTTCAATAATCTTTCCTTTTCTTAATTGTTACACTAGGAAGCACAGTGCCCAGAGCTATCTGCCAGAACGGGAACATCAGGCCAACGGGCAGAGGCACAGGAAGAGTAAAATATCCAAGTAACTCCATTAAACACCACTCCATTGTGTATTTTCTAGAGATTATTCTTTGATTTACTGTGGAAAACTGACAATAACACTATTCCATTTAAATACTTCCTTATGTACAAATACCCAGGACAAACTACAGTTACCTTGTTGATTTTTTTTCATGTGGTTATTTCCAAGAAAAATATATGCATACCTTTTATACTTTTTGCAGAAGAATGGAAAGTACTGTAAGTGCATCCCGATTACCATGGACATATTTCATTCTCAATGTTACTTGGAGGTTCAAGAGTTAAAGCAATCCCCTACTACATTGCTTACTCCATTGTCATTTCTTCATGAAAAAAATAAAGAGAAAAGGATGAGCAGAACAGCAGCAAGTGGCCATGGCTTCAGATAAGAAGTCATAGCAATTGGTTAAACAACTAAAAGTCATAGCATTGGTTAAACAACTAAAATATTTAAGTGAAAATTAAGAACAAAAACATTATTTAGTTTAGTATTTATTGTAAAAAATGTTCTGAACTGTAGCTTACCAGAAGCATAGTACTAATTACATTTTAAGATAAAAGAATATTTGAAGTTTGTCATGGTGAGCCACCTTTTGAGGACGCTGGGCTCAGCCTTCCCTTAATTTAATCTATTTTGGAAGTTATAGAACTACAGACACGTTTCACATGACAAACTCATACCGTATAACGAGAAACCTCCAGGGGAAGCTGAAAAAAGATGATGTGAATTTCCAAGCCCTGTTAGAAATGCACATATGAGAAACTGTTTCCTCCTCCAATACACATTTTTAGGATTTCAAACTTCTCCAGACTCAGCTTTCTGCCTTGCTTAAAATTAGTAACTCAGAACATAATTTCTCAGATTACAGGTTATTTGGAGAGTAATTTTCCCTGGTTTTCTCTTAAATTGTTCTTTAAGTAGTTCAACATTCACTGAAGGAGGAGGGCAACTCCAGAGTTTAGAAAATAGTACTTGCTAAGATTTAGGAGATCTCAATTCAAATGTTTTCCTCTGTCCCAGGTGAACAGCCGAAACTGACAGTCTTTCTTTTTGACCTTGGGTTTGTTACTGCAGTACAAGCTCCCATTCCTGTGTGCAGCAAAGGAGCCATTTTGTCTTCCACTGAGAAAAGCGGTCACATTCTCTGCTAGTCTCAGTGACTTTACCTGTACTAAATTTCTTCTTCCATTTTGTTTTATCCCATATTTTATTACTTTTCAACAGATTAAAAAAAATAATAAAAATCTGCTTTTGCCTTGGTTTTGTGGGTTGGAGGAGACCATAAAAAATTATGTTGCCTTACTATTTGATTTCAAAATTAGAGTATCCGAATGCTTCTGTCCTCATTTTATATCATTTTCTCTTGCAGAATATTGTTGCATTTTTTCTGCAATTTCAGATAGAGACATCAATTTGATGGATGGACCACTCGGTGGATAAAGAACTGGCTGGATGGCCGCACACAAAGAGTTGTGGTCAATGGCTCAATGCCCGGCTGGAGAACAGTAACGAGTGGTGTCCCTCAGGGATCGGTGTTGGGACCAGTCTTGTTTAGCATCTTTGTCGCTGACATGGACAGTGGGATTGAGTGCGCCCTCAGCAAGTTTGCCGATGACACCAAGCTGTGTGGTTCGGTTGATACGCTGGAGGGAAGGAATGCCATCCAGAGGGACCTTAACAAGCTTGTGAGGTGGGCTGATGCCAACCTCATGAAGTTTAACCATGCCATGTGCAAGGTCCTACACCTGGGTCGGAACAATCCCAGGCACAGCTACAGGATGGGCAGAGAAGAGATTCAGAGCGGCCCTGCAGAGAAGGACTTGGGGGTGCTGGTTGATGAGAAAATGAACATGAGCCAGCAGTGTGCGCTTGCAGCCCAGAAAGCCAACTGTATCCTGGGCTGCATCAAAAGGAATGTGACCAGCAGGTCGAAGGAGGAGATCCTGCCCCTTCATTCTGCTCTCGTGAGACCTCAGTTGGAGTATTGTGTGCAGTTCTGGTGTCCTCAACATAAAAAGGACATGGAACTGTTGGAACAAGTCCAGGGGAGGGCCACGAGGATGATCAGGGGACTGGAGAACCTCCCATATGAAGATAGGCTGAGAAAGTTGGTACTGTTCAGCCTGGAGAAGAGAAGGCTGCGTGGTGACCTCATAGCAGCCTTCCAGTATCTGAAGGGGGCTTATAGGGATGATGGGGAGGTACTCTTCATTAGGGACTGTAGTGATAGGACTATAGTGATAGGGGTAATGGGTTCAAACTTAAACAGGGGAAGTTTAGATTGGATATAAGGAGGAAATTCCTTCCTGTTAGGGTGGTGAGGCACTGGAATAGGTTGCCCAGGGAGGTTGTGAATGCTCCATCCCTGGCAGTGTTCAAGGCCAGGCTGGACGAGGCCTTGGGTGATATGGTTTAGAGCGAGGTGTCCCTGCCCATGGCAGGGGGGTTGGAACTTGATGATCTTAAGGTCCTTTCCAACCCTAACTATTCTATGGTTCTATAAATCTATTATTTTAAAGCATGGCCTTTTCACGCACCTCAGTATAGAAATCACCCCATTTTACCCTCACAGAAATCTTTACAAAATAAAAGTAAAATAAATACCAGCATTTCTGAAACATCTTCAAGGAGATAACTAAAAGATAGAGGTTTCCAAAGCTACGATTTGTATACCTAAATATCTTTTAGTTATTTTGTTTCTTAAGCCAGTATCAGCTCATCTGTTGCCTAAGAGCTTGAAAACCTAAGCTCAAATCTAAGGTCAAATACCTTCACCATATATTTTTTTAAATTCTGAAATTAGCACAGCTTACCTGCTTCCGTCACATTTCCAGTTCGTATTAGTGTACATGCAATTTTACTTATGAAAAAGCACTCCTACTGTCATAGACTTTTCTATTCTTATTCTAACATAGCCACATCTAATTGAGAAGTGGATACTGTAGTACTGTAAAGTTTTTTCACGTAGTTGCAGCTACAGCCATACTACAGCTTTGACTGCATAAGTAATATAGGAGACTCTGAATAGATGACAATAGAAATCTTCAGGCTTTGACAGAGCTATGCTCATTTTGCAAGTGAATGAAGCTTAGGCGTCTACATCACTTTAAAAAATGGAAAAGAGGTACCTTAAAATTTTACTCACTTTTCACGAAGAGGCAACCATGTATTGTATCTAAAGTACTGGAATCAATCTAAAAATTGGAATCAAGTAGCACCAACAATGCACAGGCATTTGCAAAAGAAAAAACCAAAATGTTAAATAACTTTATAAAGAGCTAGAGTGAGGCTATCATTATGCATTGATACCAGTGCAACTAAAGCAAGAGCTATTTTGATCCCTGTGGGATAAGTTGTTGAAGAACTGTAACATGGTCAATTGTTTCATGTTAGGCTACTAAAGGCATATTTTGATTAATTTAGAAGGGCGAATGGAGATATTATGGCACAGAAGAATCTGCTAAGTCTGTTTTGGTTTTTCTTCCGCCTCCAAAACCAGTGTGAAAAGATACCCTTTGTTTAAAGAATTATTTCCACTGTGCCTTCACAGAGCATAACAAGCAACAAATATTTATGTCACGAAATGTTGTGAAACAGAGAAATTGATAGTTACAGAGGACATGTAACAAATATTACCCAATATTTATACCATGATCTTGGCAGAGTTACATAGCGACTTTTTTCTAATAATTTCCCCACAATCTCTCTGTAAAAGAAAATAGCAGTTACTCTTATGTTTAAGTCAGCTAATTATGGCTACACAAAAATCTGGCAAAAATTAAGCTCTTTCATATCCATTGCATGCAGTAAGTTTCCTTTATTTTTTTTTTTGGTAGGAGGACCTAAGTCCTGCCATCAAAGAGGCATCGTTAGTCAGTTTTATGCTATTCCATTAGCATCGCAATCTCTGAACACTGAGATTTCTCTTTTGTGGCCTTCTTGATTTATGTTGTACAGAACTTTTTGGCAAGTATGATTACCTGAGGACAGTCACCTGAAAATATGAACTTTTGCCCAATCATGCTTTTATAATACGTATTGATATAAGGTAAATGCTCAGCTGGCTATTTCAGTCCTTCGAAAATATAAGAATATGGAGAAAAGCCAGCAGAGAATGATCATGGATGGCCTACTGCACAGCATCATTACCTCACAGGGTTTAGCTTGACCTAGATTGTAAAAAACGATTCATACAGAGAAAGTTATTTCCAACTTCCCTATTCCATGCAAGAGTGAGATTTTAAAAACAAAACTCAAACAAAACTCTGTATATTTTTCACTCTGTTTTATTTTGGGGATTTTGGGTTGCTGCAATAAACATCAAAGCTGAAAAGCAGTTGTGACCACTCATTGCTATTGAAAATGGGTATCTTCCATCTTTATCTTCTAAAGAACTGAAAACCAGCTTAATTTTACAATTGGGCTTTAAGATCATAAACATGAATAGCTCAATAGAAGACAAAACACTCCAAAACTACTGCTAAAATAATTATCTAAACATTTTACATAGAGCAATAATTACTGTTTGCACTAAACTATTAGCTCCGTATCATACAACTTCACCAGTACTATCACAAAAATGATTAACACTCATATCTGATCAAATAATGTTAATTTACCAATGAAAAACAGAATAGAAGACTCCTTGTAACATATTGTGGCTTTAGATCGATCTCCTTAACCTGATCGTCCTTCTATTTCAGCATTTATAAAATGAATGGATATATTGGTGAGTCTTGTAGGATAATCAGAGAAAAAACCCCAGTACTGTATGAGACAGGTAGAAGGACACTATGAAGAAGAGTAAATTGATACAGTAATATTTAACACTGCTTTTCCCAATGAACAGTGCTGTGTAAATAATTGTAAGTGAAGCTAAACAACCTAACCATCAAGACCACTCTCCTTCCTAATTAAACTACATCAACGGAAAGACTTAATACGTTCACCAGTTACAGCAGGTCTCCAACTGTGCTAAGGCTAGCATGTGGGCAAGCTTTTATTGCTGCTACACAGTCACTTCTTAAACATTCTTTTACTTTCTGATGGGCTGCTTAGGGCCAATGTCCCACCTGTCCTCTGACTAATTAAGTAGTATCAGTACTGCTACTTTTATATATTTGTGCTCCCTGCTATTTATAACAGGTTTATATATCTATATATTATATAGATATATAATATAAAAACATAAAAAAAGAGAAATCAGCTCTCTAAAGTTTTGGATAGTAATCAATAAACACATGTGTACATAAATATGGATGTTAATATGTGCATAAGAAAAATGGTTCCTGTAAACTATCAGCAATTTAAAGAGAAGACTGGTTTATCTGTATTAAGATAATGCCTTCACAGTTCACCATTATTTCTTCTTCTTGATATATTAAAATTCATATGTAATAAAACTCTTCAGTTTACTGAAGTATACAGAATACATGCAAGTTAAAATTAGAACATTTATAATGCACTTAAAACTTAAGACCTACTTAAATTACTTTTAGAGTAAATCTCAAGGCAGTGAGGAATAGTCCTGCAATGCTGTTAAAGTACATGTATGAACTGCAGACCTGCATGTTTCTTTGGAAATATTTAGAATGCAATAATGCCTCTATAGCCTTTATAGCAAATGTAACAAGCCAGCAATGCTACTTCCATTTTAACTGTTTTAACAACATCCAGTGGCCTTAATTACAAACTCCACAAACTATTTCATAACTACAACAATAGATAGCATATTTCCTACTTTCTTGGAGAAAGAGGGATTCAGGAAGGGTTTGAATTTGCTTTGAAGTTTTTAATCAGAGAGACAGAAGTACAGAAGAAATCAGAGTTGATTGTCACGATTGCTTTGACCTTTCTTTTTTTCCCCTTTTTGAATAAAGATTTTATTTTTCTGCTTGATTTTGAACATTTCTAACTAAAACATGTTTCTTTTCTGTGTTTGGCCAAAGGAAATTATTTTGAGTCTTGATCTAGTTAATGAGCAAGAATGTGAACAATGTTCACCAGCAAATGTAGTCTGGCCAAAGGAACTATACTGTGTTTGGGCTGGGAGTGTATATGTGTGAAATAGTACTTGTGTACCTCTAAGTGGCTGGCAGGTTTTGAGCTGCTTCATTGTGTAAAATGAATAGTAAAATGAATTATCAACAGGCTGCAGTTATTTTGGGTTCCCAGAAGTCTTTGAAAAAAAACTTCCTAGGAGCAGGAACAAAAACCAAACTACATCTGGGTGGAAGAACAGTGGAAGAGTTCATCAAATGGAAATTATACTACCCATGCACTGATGTCATTCCACATTTCTGGCATGCACAATGTGAAATCAAATAGGTACTAGCTGCTGCATGCTGTGTCTGTGAAATCTGAAGCTTTTTGCTCTTCTTTTGGCAAATTATTATGTTTATTCATATTTAAAGTAGGGCTTATAACACCTGTGCTTCATTTGACAATTGCTATGAAATCCTATGTTTGCATTTGCTACAGTACAGAAAGTTATACAAATTACTATTTTGTCTACGTGGACAGGATCACATCTGTACAGGACAGGTTTTTTCTTCTTCTGTGCATTTATGATGGAAAAAAACATCAGGGTCTCTGGTACTTATTAGACACAGTCAATTTTTCAATCTTTCTATTGGATGTCCAGTTCAGGTAACTAAAGAGTCTAAAGAGCAAAACCTCATATGCTGTGCAAAGAAGCTGTTCTACAAGAAAGAAAAAAGTTCTCTCAGAACATCAGGTTAAAGTTTTGGACAATAGTATGTACTTAAAAGTTTATATAGATTTTTCACAGGATCACAATAGTCATTACACATTCGTTAGCAAACAAAAATAAAACAGTGAATGCAGTAGGGTACAACTGTAAAGACAATGGCATATGGAAAGAAAAATGACTTCCTGGCATCAATGCAAACTGTTCATATTTCAAGTGCATGGAGAAAAAGAGAAATTTCAAAATTTCATACATAGCAAGTATGAAGCTGTTAATTTTTTCCACATTTCACTCTTACTCAGAAACATCAGTCCATTTAAGCTAAGGGATCAGCTCTGCATGCATGTGTGTGCATGAATACCAAAGGCTTCACTTATCTAAAAACCATTTTAGTAAAATACAGAAGGAAGGTGGACTAAAAAGCTTGGGAAAAATAATTATCTTTTCCCTTGGGGAGTGCAGCAGTTATGGTTGAGCTGCCTTACCATGGACTCTCCCCTTTCTCTCAGTTAATACCTGGTTTATTTCTGTCTTTGTGTCTTTCCTCAGAGCTTATGGGAAAAAAAGGAAAAAAAAAGAAAGCATGAAAATAAGCAAAAACAAGCAAACAAAAAAAGCTAAAGATCTTACTCACAGATGCTTACAGCACAGGTGCTTTGGAGGCTAACTTTTATACAGGCTTATGCACAAGAACAGAGGAAACAATACAAGAGCGTAAGAGTGAGAGACAATGCAGAAGGGAAGGGGGTATGTGCTGAGGGAAAAGCAACACTATCAGACGGAATAAAGAAATTGCTCTTGAGGATCAGAGTCTTCAATTATGAGCATGATACTTGCCATTTATTAATGTGATTAAACAGACAGACCTAGATATGACTGCCACAAAGAGATTATTCCAGTGTTTAACAGAACAAAGGATGCTAGCTAAGTGCAAGACACACATTCCTTTCTAGACAGATAAGACACTGACGCATTTTATTTAAAACCATTTCTTTCAGTATTGTCCACTTCAGTTTCAAGGTCTCCTTGTCACAATTTCAGGTCTAGTTTATGCCTTAAATCTCCTTTAGCAGGGTATGTGCACGTAACTGGCAATCCTTGATGAATCCTTAAAATGAATCTTAGTTCAATGATCCACTGCTTTCTTCTTGGATACTTATCATCCTGATTTGCATGTATCTGCAACCAGTCTAACCTAATACCAGTTGAAAACTGCTTTCCTATATTCCTTTGTGGTCAGCTCACCTTCATCTCTTACTCTAAATTTTTGTCCCGGTGGGGTAGAAACTGTGTGGCTGACTGGATTTAAACCACAACAATTTTAAAAAACATCTATTGCACTGGCCCCTAAACCTCATCACACTTTAAAAAACCAGACTAATAATCTCAGTGTGTTTTTCAAAGTTCCCTTGCCATATTTAGAGCTTTAATTCTACCTGATCAAATTACAGGAATACTAAAGAATCCATCACATTGTCCAGGCATTCAGATATACTCGACTTCTACCCATCTCTCCAGTTTCCAGAAAAAGCCATGGTAACAAGTACGCCTTTTCTTTAATCAGTTATCAACTCAGTACTACAGGTAACATGCTCTCTGAAAAGACTTTTTCCTTTCTGTTTCTTCAAACATTGTTTGTTCCAGTCCAACTTTAGTTACTTGTTCTACATTAAACTTAACACTCATTACCTGTAGGTTTCGGTCTCGTTGTAAACTGCACAGGAGGGAACAACTGCACAATTCAGCTGCAGCACCAACTTAGCAAATGCTGAAATCTATCCTTCCATTATCAGCTGTCAGGATAATTTGATGTGCATGTATATTAAAAACATACATTGCATTTTCCATCAAAAGTATCTGCCTGCTCTTTTGATGCTTTCCAGTCACACAGCTTCTCTTGCCTACAATCCCCATCTGCTATCATTCCTTTCACTCTATTGTTCACCATCATCCTATTATGTTATTTAGAACTCCAGCTTCAGACACTCTCCCGGGCTTCTGCTTCTATCATTTTGCCTTCTTTGACAAGTGATTTTTCTTATTTTACAGTGCACTAGCATTATTTCTTCTAGTTACTACACTTCTCCAGATAATTTGTCTAATTCATGTTTCATCCAACAAATGACATTTACACTGGTTGCACCCAAGTGCACAATTTTAATCTAATTTAGTGGAGTCCTTCCAAAAGCTGCAGGCACTTTTACTTTGGTTTAATTTACAGTTATTTCAGTTTAACACAAATTGATGTAGCTTATACCCAATCAAAATCAAGTAAATCTTTAAGTATCCATAGAGCAGTTTAGACCAGCTTTAGCAAGGTTGTATAAAAACAAATTTTAAAGTACACCGGAACATCTTTAGATAAGACATTTCATAGTCTAGCACACCTTAATATAAAAATCCTTATCCTTTTTTAGCTTTGCCTTCTACCCTTCTTTCCTTTTTCCTTCTCTTGAACACATTACTGAGTGCACATAATTGATTTTTGATAAATGAACAAAGTAGAAACATACGGTACACCTAGTCAAGTAAGTATACCTGGTGGTTTTTCATGATAAATGCTGCTGGGTATGTCAAAAATGAAATAAGGAAAATTGCTCTTGGTTAATAAGGGCAATAGAAAACACGACATAAGAATAGAAACAAGACACCAGACAGAAACACAAACATACTTTTGGTAACAGAAAAGTAGAATTATTCCTGAGGTTTCCCAAGACAAAGCACAACAGGGATAAGGGATGTACTACCTAAAATAAGGTAAGTAGAGAATATAACTAAACCTTTCTATGACAATAATGAACATACTCAGGTATAGTACAAACATCTACTTCATTAAGCAGAAGATAGTGGTGATTGCTTACCTTAATAAACTATTACACCTTCATGACCTGAAAATCATTCTTGCCATGCAGAACTAGATTGAGCATGACACATTTGAAGAAAGCCAAAACAATAAAGCCATCCATAAAACTTAAAATAGATTAAACATTACAATTCAGTGTGATACTGCTGTATGTATACTAAAGACTAGTTATAAGTAAGCAAAAAACAGCCTAAACAAAAGAAAAAATTATCTGTAGGCTACCAGTGATACAGAAATAATAGCAAACAATGGTAACAGAGATTTACCTAAAATTATCTTTAACATACCTCAGTTGAAATTGATATGAAAATACTCCATTGCATCTTTAAGTAACAGCTCAACCACTATTGAAAAACGAAATTTATAAGCCTGTACGTACTGAACCTCACAAGTAATAACCACTTGAGGGGTCAATATAAATTATATCTTCAAATTCAAATTAATAAATGAATGTTTCACACGGTTAAGCACTTAGTAATGTTCATAAGGAAAAAACCCCCAAACAACCCAGCAACCCAAAACCCAAGGAAATTCTCTGGGGAAGAAGAAACCCAACCACTTACGTTGCTTTATCTGATGTCTTCTGTAGGGAAACCTTGATCCACCAATAATGAAAGCCCTGAAATACCATCATTGCTACTACAACACATAAAAAAATTGTACTTCAGTTTTTAAAAGTCCAAATTTTCCACTGTCAATTGGGTTCTGGTTCTGGATTACAACTTCAATATTGCAGCATGACCAAATAATTCCCAAATCTTCCCCAAAACCTTATGTATAAATCAGATCTAGCAACTGCATGCATCCAGTGGTGGTGCATTATGGAAGAAGTGAGATACACCATCATACCTCCAAACTATAACACAGTATCACAACATTGCTAAGCCAACATATTTTAGCTTTGCACAGAAACACTTGACAATAATATTCATGTTTTTCCAATACAGCATTATTTCCCCAGAGAAACGGTTTCTATTTTCCAAGCAGGCCTACTGTTTACTTATATATCTGAACTAAAGGCAGCAAAAAAGCAAAGGAGATTTCTCTGTATATTTTAGGCTTAACAAACATCCTCATGATAATAATTGCTTAATACTGTGTGATATCATTACCATGAAAGTGTTCAGTTATTTTGGAAATACACTTTTTCAGCATAGATAATTTCTTGAGCTGGAACAAAACGGCTTCCTTCTCCTGAAGTGATCAAACTATGTTTAAAATGATATTAATTTAAGACAACAAAAAGTTGCTAATTTTATGCAATTAAAGTTCTTTATACAAATAGCTCACAACAAAACTATCATTTTAAAACCCCTGCTAGTGAAATTTCTACACTCTTCTTTGTTCAGAACTCAAACCTTTTGACATGTCAAAGAAGAGACTTGAAAAGAATTGGTCCAGCTAGGCAATAACTGTTACGGCATCCCTTCAAGTTTCAAATGCAAATAAAAGTGTATGACTTTGGAAAAGGTTCATCTCCCACAGATCTTTACTTAAAATCAGACTTATGTTGCAAAAAATTGTTTCTTAAAACATGAAGTTAATTTCAGCTTGATTACTATAATATCTGTTAATTTCCCCTCCCCCCATCCATCTGGCTTATGCACTTCAAATGACATCTTCTGTCAATCAAATAGGTTATATATCAAGTGTTATTATTAAGACTTGAAAACAAGATCAAGATACAAAGGCAACACTTAGTTAAATGTATAATACCATTTTTCAAAATGGAGTAACTATCCTTGCAGGTTTCAGTAGAGCCTGAAGGTACTCACAACTGAAAACCAACCAGCTTACAGACAATAAAACAGTAACTTACTATCGTCTCCTAAAATTGAAATTTTATTGAAACTGTTAAGTTGTTTTTTTTTTGTGTGTGTGTGTGTGTGGGGGGTTTAATTAGGGTTTATAGTGATCTGACATGGAATTTGGTAGTTTATTGAAAGGGCGGGTTTGCCCTTTTTTATTTTTTTTTTTTTTTAATTAAAACAATTAAAACAGCTACAGGAACTTTTAAGAAAATACTGTAGTTCTCAGTATTCAAAAAATACCCTGCAACCAGTATAAATTGATTTAATCAACGACTGATTGAAGATGTAGAAGTGTACACTAAACAATAGGAACAATGATGTGTAAAGAACAAGAACAGTCACCAGAACTGTTTGCCTAGTTACACTATTTGTTCATCTAGATGTCCTGTTACATGTGTTAAGAGGATCTAGTTGCCAATCTCTGACTAAACATGCAATTCTGCAGTTATGTATTTGATAAAATTCTTTGTCCTATTATATGAACAGATCATATGTGAAATATTGCACAGAACAGCATGAGTTCTGTATACATATGATGCCTGCTTTTTACAGATAAGTAGCTAAACATTTTACTAGCATGACAAAATCCTCTGATTAGTGCAGAATTCATTAAATGGTGACAGATGCTAGTATTAATTACATGTTGAGTAGATCATTTTCCCATTATATTCTTTTGTTACCAGCCTCCTCTTTCTAGTTATCAGCCTATCCTATACCCAGATTAAGCACCAGGCCTTTTTTTTTGGGGTGTGTCTATATTCCTTATTTGACTAAAATGAGTGACTGACCTTTTCTATACTACCCCACCATCTGGATTCCTCCCTGGTACTTTTCAAAACCTGTACTTATTGTTTGTTACACAATTTATTAAAAAAAAATATTTAGCTAGGTTATTTGTGTGGCTATCTCAAGTAATCTTATATTAACTGTTGGAAGCCATATGATTTATTGCTTACTTTGTACAAACAGATAATGTCTACTGCTGCTGTGACAAAGCTTGCCAAATTATACCTGGCATATCAAACACTAATTTAGTATTTCAAGAGTGCTTGAAAAACATGTACAGAGAAAGGTAAATGCATATGTTAAACAAGTTGCCATCCTTGATGTCAGTCTTCAGACACAAAATGTTCTCCCATTCTATGCAATATTAGAATCAGTCACACAAAACAATACTAGCCATTGTTTCCATGAATTTTAACAGGATTCCTAGCAAACATTTTATGGCAAGCATGTTTTTCTACTTAGTATGATTATCCTGACATGTACATTAACTTCTCCTTATAACAACTGAAAGCACTCCTGAAGAGAGAGAAAAAAAAATTGAAAAAAGAAGAAAAGTTGAAAAGAGAAAGAAAAATTGAAAAAGGAAAAAAGAGAAATTGAAAAGTACAAGCAGCAAAGTAATTAATTTAGAAATAATTTCTGTCATAAACCAAAAAGTTATAAATTGAAGGTTGACAGAGGAGAAAGACATTGGAATAGTAACTTACCAGAGGGTGATCAACTTCACTAACCTGATTTTGGTAGAAACAGTTAAATATAAACCTAAAATATAAATCACACAATTTTCCAGGAGATGCAAGGCAGTAACAATAGCACATGGCACTTGTAATACTTATGAAGAACAAAGATTCTAGTAGGACGAAATGCAGCAAAAAAATACTTATGTGACCAGGAAGCAGAGACTCTGTTTATCAAGTGGAGACAGAAAAAAACAAAACAAACCCTATCAAGAGGGCATATTTATTAAATATGTAACATTCTATACATACACACGTATACAAACATATATAACATTGTTACATACACAGAAGGCAGTATTCAAGGTACAACATATCCACACACAAAATAAGCTGTAAATTACTCTGTATAACTGCATTTCTAACCATCAGAGAAATGATGATCTGGAGCAGTTGCTCTGCATTAAGTAGCACGGAAAAAAAAGCTCACTACCTTTGGAAGACATCAAGTCCCATATATGATATGAAGATCTATTATGTGGCAGGAAAAAACAGCGGGGACTAGACCTTGACGACCTGAAGTCATCTCTTTCAGTCTTATATTTCTGCAGTGGGACTGGTAAATGTCCACGCAAGGGAAATATGTGGGATAGTTTCCCTGTGTTTGTAAAGTTCTGAGTGCAGTAATTCACTGATGATTCCTTCTACACAATCCCACTGGTTGAACTGTATTCTGTGAATATTCAGTTATGCATCTGTACCTCTACTTTTAGAAGAGTTGTTTGCAGTAAGTTACATGGCTCTCACATTCTGCTTATGCTTCCTTCTTGAAGTAGCTTATGTAGGAAATAGTTGTTAATCTTCCCTCCTTAACTTTTCAAAGGAATTGCACGTTTGCTACTGAGTAATCAATACCATTGTTTATGGAGCCCTGATTAATGGCTCTAATTTTGAAATAAAATGGAAATTGAATTTGTAGCTGGGATGGAAACTGTCCTTCCCTGCAAAACAGGAAGTGACCATCAGGGTCCCCCTGTCCCATTTTGGACACAAACAGACCCACACAGACAAGTGGGTGTCTTTCTAACTCTTCCCCTCCCTCCGCCCTCCCCACCCCCACTGTATTTGGTTGGTTAGAAATGCTCAAAGTAGCCTCTGCTTTTGTCTCCTTTCAATACCTTACTTGCCCACAGCAGGCCCTGCTTCCTTTTTCCAGGTGTCCTGGTTTCTGTAGATTCAAGTTAAATACAAACAAGCATGCTTAAGTACACCTTGCTATTATCACAATTGACAATATTGAAAGCAATAAATGTTTTCCAATTCATTAATGCAGTAATAAAATAATTCACATGCTTACAGCTGAGAATGTGTGCTCCTGTGTAATCACACTGTGGATACTCTTTTTTGATGTCTTGTCCTCTTTCAGACATAGTTAGCTTCAAACTTCCTAGTGTATGTTTAACTCTGCTCTCATAAACGTCCCTTCTTTCACTTTTTGGCAATTCCAATTTATTTATTTTAAGTTGTATAATTGTTTTGGGTTCAGCAGTAGCAGTCATTTTTCTCCTTCTCCGTAGCTGGTGCAGTGCTGTGGTTTTGATTTTCGGCCTGGGAACAGAGCTGATAACACTAATGTTTTTGGTTACTGTTCAAATGTTTAGTCTGATCAAGGACTTTCTGAGCCTCATGCTCTGCCAGGGAGGAGAGGAATCCGGGAGGAAGCAGAGACAGGACAGCTGACCCAAACTGACCAAAGAAGTATTCCATACCATGCACATCATGCCCAGGATGTAACTGAGAATTATCCGTAAGGGCTAGTGTACTGCAAGGTTGGACTAGGTATCGGTCGGTGCTCAGTTGGGCTGGTGGGGGGCAAGTTATCGGTCGGCAGGTGGTGAGGTGCTGTGTTCTCTTCCCTTGTTATTTCCCTTATCATTATTATTATTCTTATTGGTGGTAGCAGTAGTAATTTGTGTTATACCTTAGTTACTGGACTGTTCCTGTCTCAACCCGTGGGAGTTACATTCTTTTTGATTCTCCTCCCCATCCCCCCGGGAGTAGGGGGAGGGCAAGAAGCAGGGGAGTGAGAGAGAAACTGTGAGGCTGATTTATGGCTGACTGGGTTTAAACCACGACAATAATATACAATAGCTTGGGCCTACTGTCCTGATCTTGAGGCAGTATCAGACTTTGAAACACTTCCTGGACAACATCGCTAACATATCAGGCTACATGATGGAAGATAGATGCCAGTTCCCTAGTACGCAGGGAAAAAACCTAAAAAAAAGCCACGGACTTTTTACGTGACTTGTTTGAATATAAAGCCTGTTGCCATGGATTTGCTTTTCTCTCCTAGATATGGCCTCCTTGTCCAACGAAATTTCTTGCCCTAACACGTTCTTAAGACTTGTATTTGTACAGGATTTCTGGTTCTATGACAGTTTGACTCAATAGTCAGCTGATAACTGGAAATCCTAGCTATGACCACAGGTACACACACTCTGGAACTGTATAATACATGCCCCATAAATTAACTTGATCCTGAAGGAGTTGAATGTACTGCTCATGTAAAGCCCAAGTAGAGCATTCAAAGTAAGCAACAGTCACAGAAATATGGTAGCCTTCATACAAATCCAGGGGTGACCTCATCAGTGTTTACAAATATGTAACGGGTGGGTGTCAGGATGATGGAGCTAGGCTTTTTTCAGTGATATCCAGTGATAGGACAAGGGGCAGTGGGTGTAAACTGGAGCATAGAAGGTTCCACGTTAACATCAGGAAGAATTTCTTTACTGTGAGAGTGACAGAGCACTGGAACAGGTTGCCCAGGGGGGTTGTGGAGTCTCCCACATTGGAGATATTCAAGGCCCGCCTGGACAAGTTCCTGTGTGATGTACTCTAGGTTACCCTGCTCTTGCAGGGGGGTTGGACCAGATGATCTCTTGAGGTCCCTTCCAACCCTTGGGATTCTGTGATTCTGTGATACAGCCACTAATTCCCTTTTTGTTTTTAAAGAAAAACAATGGACTGTTCTGAAACCACAGACTTCGAAGAACAGGACTATTCAAAGTAGCAAATTTCAGCATTCATGTAACTACCTGCATGGTTGGAGGCTTAGACTAAGGTCTTTCAGGTAATGACTAGTATTTATTAGGAGACTGCAAACAAGCATACTAGGAACATGAATCAACAACTGGGCCTCCTAGATGCTAACACAGTATGGCTAAATTTATTTTACATGATACATAACTTGGCACGTCAGTGATACATATACCTTCAGTTACCATTTTTGATATCTCAGGAGATTCCATAACCTGCAGAAAGGCTAACTAGCACCCAGAAGTTCTACATGTACAGCAGTTAAAACTGCAAAGCTTATTTAAGTGAAGTTAGCTGTTTTCAGCAATAGTGAATTTAAATGTGATTGAAGTGGAAAGTTTTGCTGGAATTGGATACATCGGCTTCAGAAGATACAGTGATATATACAAATACATATGTTCACCACATCATACTCAAATGATCTTACCATCATAAAATCAAAGCAAAGTTTTCCAAATAACTAAAACCGTATCTTTTTCAATGACACCAACTTCCTAGTAATGTACAATAAACATTTACAAATAGTTTTAACTTACTTCCACTGACAGCTACAAAGCTTTTGCACAGTTTTTGTTACTCAGCTTGGTTTGTTTTAAGGATGTGTTTGACATGAAACTAATACAAGAACCAAAAATCTGAAGATAATTAAAAAAGCATCATATTTTTATTATTTGGGTGCAAAAATGAGTGGTAAACCCCCATGTAACAATTACATATTCCATGAACAAACTTTGCACGATTCCCATAAGGTCAATGGGACAGGCTCATTACAAGACTTCAGCTACAGAAAAGCATGTATTTCTCAGCTAATGTGCAGCACTGTAATTACTTTCAGCTTTGGTGGAACTCGGTTCTACCTTAAAAAAATGATTCTGAGGAAAAATGAAACCAAAACTCCTTTGGGAACAGGTGATTTAAAAAGTTAAAGTCTTGGCACCAGGCAGACAAAAGGAGCATGTAACACACAGAGCACAGATCATTCAGAATTGCAGCTGAACTTCAGTTTATCAGCTCTTCCTCCCTCTAATTTCTCAATTACAAACTTGACAGTTCTCCCACCCCTAGAAGAAAATATGTTCGCTGTTTTGGTTTACTCTTGGAAAACAAAACCAAACCTTTCCTCCAGTTTCAAAATGTGGGGTTTTTTTGTTCCAGTGAGACATCTTAAAAACTTTACTGGAAATTTCTTTTGATTTTGTATCTTAGACATATAAAGTCAACCCAGTCAAAAATAGGTTGAAATAAAAAGAATAGATTTTCATTATTATTTCATAACTCATAATCAGGTTTGTTAAAATTCATTCATTTACTGTCAAACATTCCATACAGCAATTTCACAAAATATTTTTTAAAAGTTTAAAAAATTCCCCTTTCTTACAGGATGTTTTAGCAGTGTTTCTTTCATTGACTGGAAAACCAGTCATCTACACAGGCAAAAGGCAGGTCACCTAAACATCTTCAGGTACCATATGGAAGATATACACAGTCTTCCCATTCCTAGTTAGGCAGTTTAATTTTATTTTTCTTGAATGAGATGTTTGGCTATTGTTTCCCCCTGACTTAAGTCTAGTTACTCTGAAAGTGCAGCTAAACTTGTCTTTATGAGACATAAAGACAAGTGTTGTTACTTATGGATTTGTTACTTATATTTACTTTAAATGTTAGTACCACTTATTTATGAGGTATTTCTGAGACTAGACTTAAATTTGCATTAAGGTTACAAAATCACAGATGTATATATACTTCTCTGCAAGACTACAATCTCACCATTTTGAAAGATCTTCGTCCCCTCCCCTTCCTCTGGTCCTCACCCAGAGCCCCTCCCCACAGGCTTGGGATACTCTAGGTAGAAGGAATCTCCCACACAGAGAACCTCCTAGCCCACATATACTTTCACCTATGCTAGGAAACAACCTTTTCAGTAGCAAGCCCTTACTCTTCCCCAGGTACTTACCAACACCACATCAGAAGGCAGCAGCAAGGCGTTCTCAGCCCTGGATAGGCCAAATCAGCAGCACTCACTGATTATACCTCTCAGGTCGTTACCTGGTGGCACTAAGAAGTGACCCCGCCTTCCCCCACCATGGAGGTACGAGCCCCTTCACTCCTCGCCAGTCCTTCCCCAAGGACAGGCCCTTACTAAAGCCACTGCTGCTTCAGGAGCCCAACGGCGGCAGGGCCCAACTTCCTTCTTTCCCAGGTAGAGAAGAAGCGGCAACCATAAGGTGAGGAGACCGGCGGGGCAGAGAACGCTCCCCACCAGCCCAATACAGATGACGAACGAGTTGATGAGAGGACTGAGGCCCGTCCGAGCGTCCCGAACACTTCCTCTCCTAGCACCGACGCCATTTTGGGACGCTGGAAAGCGGTATCTATAGCAACCAGGAAGAGGCGGACATCACGCGGGGTCACCGGGAGCCCAGCCCCCTCTTAAAGGCGCAGGGCCGGTAGTATCACGGTGGCCTGGCAGGGTCTTCGGCCCCGCCATCGGCAGAGCCTCGCTCCGCCGCCGGCTCCGCCCTCTACCCGCGCCCCCCGCCCTTACCCGAGAGGAGGCACACGCGCGGACCCAGGGGTGACGACCCCGGCGGAGGGATACTAACCACTGAGCACCGACTCCGCCGGACGCAGGGAGCGGGGCTCGCACGCGGCCGCAGCGGGGGCTACGTGGGGGGGGGGCAGCTGGGGTTGGACCGCCCGCCGGGTCAGAGGGCTCTCTGGCCCCGGTGGGGCCCCAGCGCTGGGAAAAAGTAGTCCCCTAGCCTCCCCCTCGCTCCGTTGGAAGGGGTTCGGCGGCGGAGGCGGCGCTCCTCGGTGCTTCGGCTTCAGCTGATAATTGAAGGGAAGAGAGGCGGTTGCTGTCGGGAGGAGGGGAGGCACGGCAGAGCGAGTCTGCGGAGGCCGTATCGGGACAAACTAGGTACTTGGGGCCTGTCTGTTGTTTCAGGGGGCGTTGTGGGGGTGATGTGGTGCTGGGTTCCTTGGCAGCCTCTGGGCCGGGCCTGTTGTGTCATCCCCGGCATTAGCCGAGCTGCCCTTCCCGGCGGCTTGGGGCAGGGGGAGGGGAGTAGCGCCATCCCGGAGCATTGTTGCGGATGGGGGGGTGGGAGGGAGACGGGGACGACACAACGCCGCGCTGGTGAGTGTGTGTGTGTGGGGGGGCCTGGGGTGTGTAATGGGGCGAGGGGAGGGTGCTCTCGAGGAGAAGGGAAGGGGTGGAAACGGTGCTGACAAAATGGCCAGGCAGTCACCGAGGGCCGTTCGAGGGACATCCCGTTTCCCCCAGGCGCCGGGCAGAGCTCCTGCTCACCGCATCGCCTCGCTTGGGCTGCTTGGTGGTGGGGGAGCGCGGCCTCCCCGCTCGAGGCCCTGTATAGCTGCTGATACAAAAGGGCAGTGTCGATGTTGACACTGCTGTACCGATTTG